TGTTAACGTGCATACAAACATGCAAAAAACAGTATAAATCATGTATAGATGTATAGATCATATGACCCTTGCTTCAGCACAAGTAACATGGCCTACGTCAGACTGGAGAGAATTTCAGTATTCAACATTGACATCTACCCATTCTTTTCCATGATGCCTAAGGCCTGGTTCCACCAGTGTGAACCAGGCCTTAGGCATCATGGAAAAGAATGGGTAGATGTCAATGTTGAATACTGAAATTCTCTCCAGTCTGACGTAGGTCATGTTACTTGTGCTGAAGCAAGGGTCATATGATCTATACAAGATGACATGGTGGTTTGCTGTTCAGCCAAAGCGAGCCAAACATGGTCTCTGCCTGAAGAGAACTTCTTTCATCTACTAGAGATTAGCCACCCTGAGGAAAAGAAACCATTTAAATATTCCAGAGCAATGATTCAAAAGTGTATGACTGTGTAGGTGCATAATTCACTGCAAAACAGTGTGAGCTTGGGGCATTGGCTACTTTACAACACACACAGGGACCATGGAGAACAAAATAGTCACCTTCCAGAAGGAAGGACAGTGTCAGCATGAATTCAGAGAGGATTTGAGGAACTACAGCTGAGTGATGCCAAATAAGTTAAGATAAGGTTTAACGCCTAAGTTTAGTGTCACTTTTAGTAACTCAAGTTTAGTGGCTCCTGATGAATAACTGAGGACACTTGCAAGCATCTAGAAATTTAATAACTGCAGTTGAACTCATACATGTTTGATTTAGGTAAGCTAGCACAGCCAGAAAAAAAAAATTGCTGGTTTTTCTTTATCTGAATGGTAAAGCAAATAATCTATTCATATGTCATCAGAGTGTCCATTTTCTTATCTTCACGGTGTTGGTGACAGAGTGCGTCAGTGATTATCAGGGATTGAAATATTTTAGGGTGTCTCACCAGTTGGCATGACTATAGCCTTGCAGCGCTGCTGACAGGATACGCAAGATGCACAGCAGGCCTTCCCAATACGCTAGTAATAAACGTAGCTAGTCAGAAGCCGGACACAGCGTGCGCTGGTTACTATTTAGCCACTTAAAGACCAGGTGTTTACACCCACTTCCTGGCCAAGCCATTTTTCAGTATTCAGTGCTGCAGTACTTTGCCATTTATTCCCTCAAACGCTGTACTGAAATGAATTCTATACCTTTTTTTGGGACAGATAGAGCTTTCTTTTGGTGGTATTTAATCCCCTTTTATTTTTTTACTATATAATGAAAAAAGTACCGTAAAGTTACAGAATTTTTTTTCCCCCTACACGTTAAAAACATTTATTCTTACCCATATTTTTGGTAAAATATAAAAGACGGGGTCACGTCGGGTAAATACACAAACCTGTCAAACTTTAAAATTGCGTGCGCCCGCATAAAATACCATACCCAAAATTGGCCATAGGCAACGCTTTCAAAGCTTTTACTGCTCATCAGTTTAGGGTTAGTGATTAATGGCCCTAAAATTATAGCCCTCACTCTGACGTTCGCGGAGATATGCAACGTGTGGTGCAAGCGCCATTTTTACACGTAGGCGCACCCAACGCATGTTTGTATGTGTATGTGGGGGCAGGGAACCTGGAAAAAAAAAATTCTATTGGACTTTACATTTTTTGGGGGTAACATTCTTTTTTCATTTAACTTTATTGCTATCACATACTGGGCTAACAAGCCCCCTATGTGATAGCCAATTTACACAGACAGATCCCCTTTATGGAGACATCAGTGGTCTCTAGGACCACTAATGTCATGTAGGGACCCCCAAAGAAGCTGATGAAGCAGAGACCTGCTTCACCAGCTTCTCTCCAGCTATAGAAGCTTGAGAATGACAGCTGAATGCAGCAGTGATGTAATATAAATCACTGCTGCATTCATAGAACGAGGAGATCAGAGGGAGATCATGTGAAGAATTCCTGCTGAGTTCCGGTGACAGAGCCGCCCTGCGGGTCCGGAGCCCTCAACGAATAAAACAGGGATCGGCAGTGGCGGAGACAGCGCACACCCGCAGACATTACACAAGCCATCCAGCGGCTCTACAGCCGCCGGACCGGTTGTATGTATCGCTGGCTGTTTACAATTCAAAGTGACATTAAAGGCAACGTTTTTTTCCCCCTCACCCCCAACGTTAATTAAAGCACTTACCTTAAATTATGTCTCTTAATCCGATCTTTGCCTTCTCTACAGCGCTGCGGCGGGTGTCCGATCCAGCGCTGACTCCTCTGGGCTTGCTGGCACTTCCAGTCCCACGGTGTCTGCATGCGGGTGCACGCGTCCATAGAGTTACCTTGCGTCCCTCCTCGCGACCCAGCCGAAAATGTGAACTGCGCATGCCCTAAGTTCCTTTGCAGCCCCCCGAGAATTTTCACATTTTCGGACGGGAGCGTGCGGGGAAGACACAGGTAAGTTTAAACCACTGTTAAAGCGTTTGTTTTTTTAACTTTTGGCATATATCTACTGCTTGCTAGCAGTAGTATATATATGCAAAAAAAGCTTAGGGTTTAGAAACTTAAGCAGTTTTAAACAAGTGATGACGTCTTAAAAACGCCCACTCACATCCAAGAAGCTCCTGGCCGGCCGATCAAAGACGAGAGGACAAGTTAATTCTCAAGCCCTATACTAAGATTTATGCCAGCAGCTAGAGTTGATACATCTCGTAGATGGAAATCCACGGAAACACCCTCTTTGCAGAGCTGGGGAAATATAATGGAGGAGATAAGATATATGGAAGAATTGAGGGCAAGAGATGTGATAGGAAGGATAAGTATGATAAGATCTGGGAGAAGTGGGAGACATAGAAATATAGAGGAGTTAAGCAACCTATAAATATGGGCTAGAGAGGCAAGAGAGAAATCCCCATAGTTAAATTTAAATATAAAGTAAAATATTTTTGACATGGGATACTTAATATCTATACGGATTAGGGTATAGATGGCCCCTGTGTATTGGTAAATAATAGTGGTGAATTTAACGGTTTAAAATATGAACATAGCAATCGATCTGGTGGATGGGTGAGTTATGGGACGAGTGGATAGAATGTTAGAGGGAGGATGCCAAGGTAGAGGAGTTAAAACACAGAGGTGGTGAGGAAGGGTGGAGGTACACTAGATTGTTTGATAATGTAAAAGGGGGGGAGGGAAACGGAGGGAGAAAATGCACTAGGTGTTAAATAATAATTAAAAATAGATTCCCAATATAGGGTATCCCAAAACACAAGGAGGAGAGAGAGGGAATTACACAGGAAAGGAGAGAAGGGGAAATATAATAAATATGGAAATAAGAATTAATAGGGGAGGGGAGAGAAGAAAGATTAGGTTAATACACAATTGTTTTTTTTTAGTAAGGAATAAGTAACACAGTAAATTAGACATAAGAATACAAAAGATCACGAACACTAGAAGGAGAGAAGGGATTTGGTTTGTTGTTTTCTC